GGGCAAGATAGAATTTTTAAAAAGTTACTGCTATTTGCCCATGCCGTTGTCAAAGGACTTTTGTCCCCCCCCCGGAGATTCGCCCCCCCCTCTCAAAAGGGGGCGATATTCCTAGGAATACCGCCCCCGGGGGACGAATATCCTAGGAATATTGCCCCTCCCCAGAGGGGCGAATGCCCCAGGAATATCGCCCCCCTTTAGGATATTCGCCCCCCATATATGCGATGTGGTTTATTCAAATAATTTCGTGATACTTTCATCTTATTAGTGCCTTAAGGCCCATACAGACCGGACGCTATTTGGCAATGCGACGCGAATTTTCAGTTTTCAATGACATTTAACTTTAATATTTTTCATTGTTTTTCAAATATTCGGGATCAGTTAGCAGTTTTAGCTATTTGGTCTGCATACCTTGTAAAGTTTTTATCCGTTGACGGTTTTATTTGTTTTTTAAACTGAAAATTCGCGTCGCGTTGCCGAATCGCGTCCGGTCTGTGTGGGCCTTCACACGTTTGAGACTGAATTTAACTTTGCAAAACTAAAGCTTTTTTGTCTTTTTTGAAACGTATTATTGGAGTACTGGCAAGTTTTACCATTCAGAGATTTACAAACTAATATTGAAATTTCATAACAGTTTATTAGTAATAACAGTTTCATGTATAAGCGCATCACTAATGAGTAATGACAACTTACAAGCCATACATTTTCCGATAACGACAAAACGCTTGTGTAGCCTTTAATCGCTCTCATTGACTAATAAATTTTTTTGAGGGGGGGGGGCAAAATGGGGGGGGGGCACAAAATAATTGGGGGGGGGGGCATCTGCCCCCCCCTTGCCCCCTGGCGCCGCCACTTCTTTTTATGTTGTGAATTTTGCCAAGTGTAAACGTCTCCGTTTTGTCACATAAAAATACCAAACAAGTGCCGAGTTTGCGGTTTTTACGTCCTCCCTTTTTTAAAAGTTTGATTTAAGGGCGCAGTATTTAAACGGGCCGTATTCAAGAGTAGGGGTGCTAGTGCATCTTGATGGCCCGCCAAAATTTGTAGTGTAAACGATGCTGATTTTTCAAGAAAATGGTCCGCGTGCCATTATTTAAGAGTGCCGTTCCAAAAGTGAGTGTAATGTAAACGGGGCTAATATAGTAACATTTTTTTATATAATGGGACGTTGAGCTTTATAAATAAAAACTTTTGGAAGATGGCTTTCACTCTACGACAGACAGCCTACTTTTGGTTTGTTTATATGCCCAGGGTTAACCCAACCTAGATTAGCTATATTCCTTTAATTACTTTATTGTTATTTAAGTATTTACATTAGCAAATGGTGACCGCACAGGACATAGCCCCAATTATTACAGCTACCATATAACAACCTAGCTTGGTTATTCAATAATTTATGTGAGACTGTTGAGGCAAGCATGGGCTTGCTGGAACAAAACATGTGTAAAGAAATATTAAATACAACATGTTCTTATGATCCATCATCACCTTAAGCTCTAATCCTATTTGAGCTGCCATTAATTACCAACTGAACTACTGGAGATTCAGAGATATTTTATATTTGACCAGGCAAACAATAGAAGTTTAAAGTAATTTGGCATTACTACCTACCAATATGCCTTAGTTATATAAACCTTCTTTCCTCTTGGGCTGGCCTGCCTGGCCAAGACTCTTTTCCAAGCTATAGATCGTGGATATAACAGCTGGGCATTAAATAATTAATACATAATTCACATCAATCTATTGATATAAAGAACATTTCTTTATTTTCTTAGGGGGTGTTTATATGGAGGAGAGCAGCCTCGTACCCAGGCGCAAATAACGTACTAAAAATAGCAACACTACAGTGTTTTTATATAGATCAGTGGCTAAGATGAGCGAGCGCGCGGGGGTGCTTGGGGAGGACGCGATGGGATTCTGCAGCTTCGTTTCCCGCGTCCTCCCCAAGCACCCCGCGCGCTCGCTCAGCCACTGATCTCTATAAAAAACTGTAGTGTTGCTGTTTTTAGTACCGTACGTTATTTGCGCCTGGGTAACGAGGCTGGGAGGAGAGCCAGCCCAGATACCTGAGCTAGCTTGCTTTGCTGAGATCTAACATCGCTATGTAATTTATACTAACATTTATCTTGTGTTTAAATGGAAACCGAGCTGGCCTGCCTAGGTGAGATCTTGAAAAATAAAAATATGTTTACTTATATTATACTATTTTTAGCGGTAAGACCAATCATTTGTTTTGGCAAGACAGCCCACCGCAAAAGTCTCAAGTAAACATGGGATAAAATCAGCTCAGCAAAGAGAGCTAGCTCGGGTACCTGTATGGGCTGGCTCACCTCCATATAAACGCCCCATTTAATAGAAGATTTCGAAGTTAAAATTTCTTTTGAAATCTCTCTGAGGGATAAAACCTTCAAAACTTTATTGTTGACAAAAATTTCAGTTAGACAGTATCCAGAAAAATTGCCTTTTCATATTGTAAGGCCAAAATTATGTACATAATTTCAGTAATAAATAAAATATGAACAACTTTACCAATGACAAATGAGAGTCTTTATGGATATAGTGACAGTCTTTGCAATTTCACATCATGACGAGCCAAAAACCCCACAAGTTGATGCAATAAAGAATAATAGATTAATTCCTAAGTATTTACAAACATGTAGCAGTACCTTTTGCATTTATATTAATTGTGGAAAAATATCTATATTTTTATTTTATTTCTGTATATTTTTCTCAGAATAATGATAACAAACTGCGTAATACCGCGTGCAACCCCCCTGCTAAGAGACTTGGGCTAATACAATAACTGTGGCAATCGATACACCAGCCGGAAATCTTAGTTAAAGATAAAGAGCAAAGCCCAGCAAATAACTTTAAAACCAAACATAATAAAAGTAAAGATTTAATTAGCTAACGTTTCGTTGTTTACAATACAACATCTTCAGAGCAATCTAAATGAATTTACAGGGTATGGTATATATATTTACAAAATAATGGTTTAATATTACAAAAACGGTTACATAATTTGAAAGAACAAATGAATAGAAAGAAAGGAAAACAACTTATCAGTAACTAGTTAATAAGTAAAGATTAATGTTAAGTGCATGGTTAGTATGGTTAAGGTTAATATTACATAACTAAATAACTCAAGAGGGGCAGATCTAATATTAGCATTAAGGACAGGGTTAAGTTGAGAAATTAATAGGCTTTCACGGATAAGAAGGTCCTACTCAGAAGTGCCTGATAGAATTTTGAAATCAGAAGCGGAGGCTAGGTGTTTGTGTATGTGTTTGTGAGCGAGTATACTAGACATGGTTGAGATGAAAAACAAGAAAACTGCGGGTCTGTGCGAGTGACAAATGACAATTAACAAGTGAATTCGTACTCAGCGTATCAAAATCTATAGATTCATGTATTAAAAGTAGATCCCGAATGGGGGAGGGGGGGGGGCAACGAAACTTGTTTTCTAAGCGACTTTTGGGGTCACAGCTAAATACGGCCTATGCTTCAACTTCTTTCATTTTTATTCAGTTTCTACTGAATTTCCAATGAACATAGAACATATTCTTACAAATCGTATGTTTTTTGTTTTTGGAACTGCTACTTTTTGGCGCGAAAATTACATCACAAATTTGGCACCAAAAAATTAAAAATATGCTATAGGTGATTTTATGTATTCATTTAAAAGAGCAGACTAAAGGTATCGAAATCGGTTTCGAAATACAACCATTCCTTGCGACAACATGACTTAAATTTCTAAAAATCCGCCATTTTGTTCTATTTTTAGTAACAATATGGCGGATTTTTCGACATTTGTATCGCTATATCTCAGGGGCGTCTATCTAATCATGGGGGGGTACACTGAGCGCCCGTCGAAGGCGGGTGACAATCAAGGGATCGCGCAGGGACCTGGCCTCCAGAAAATTTTGAAAACTAGAGTCTGTGAAATACCATTTCGTGCACTTTACGTCTTTAAAAGGAGATTTACAGAGTTCTAAAGGTACTTCACAAACATAGATGGTGAGTTATATTGTGATAATATAATGAGTTTCCAAACTATTTATTCTCTTAACTATGGTGGGAGTGAACACCCCCGGCCCCTGCTGGACCAAAACTATGAAATGTTTATAGCCGCCCCCCCCCCTTCGGTATATCGAGAACTTTCAGAGCTCCCCCTTTAATGCCAGAAAATATTTCGGTGCCCCCCTTAACATCTTCATCCCTCGCCCTCGGCATAATAAATGAACTTTCCCTAAAGAGCATAAAAGTTGCTCAAAAGTTGCGCGAAATAAAAAAGTTGCTACTTATAAAATTCAAAAATTTGTTCGTACTCATTACGTTA